AACAAGCACAATAAGCACAATAACTAGCACACCAACAACAAACGACAAGCATAAAAAACAAGCACAACAACAAAAAAAAACAAGCTCAACAACAACAACAATAACAAGCTCATCAACAACAATAATAAACAACAACGATAACAAAAACAACAACAATCACAACAACAACAACAACAAATACAAAAACAATAAACAACAACAACAATAATAAAAACAACAATTATATAAGATTTGTCTATTAAAAATCATATTTAAGATTAGACTAAGCCTGGACTTTTCAATAGTGCATACCCGTTTGCAACGTAGGTCTTTGACAAGTCTTTCCAGTACAAGATCCATACATGAAAAATTACAATATTACATCAAGGTTAAAACGAATTATTTAAGAGAACAATCGAAGTAATAATAATGATGCATCAATCGAAGTATTACTAATGGTTCATATCAGTCTGTGACGTAGGTCCCTTGCATGCCTCTCTAATACAAGATCCATATATGAAAATTTACAAGGTTACAAGATAGTTAAAACAAATTATTTAAGTGAAAAGTTGAAGTAATAACAATGGTGCATCAATCGAAGTAATAACAATGGTGCATACCTGTCTGCGTCGTAGGTCCCTTGCAAGCCTCTCCAATACAAGATCTGTATATGAAAAATTACAAGGATACATCAAAGTTAAAACAAATTATTTAAGAGAACAAACAAAGAAATAACATTGGTGCCTACCAGTCTGCTACGTAGGTCTCTTACAAGCCTCTCCAATAAAGGTCGAGGTGGATTTTAGGCAACAACAGTTTTACAATTGGCATAACAGAATACTAGTTAGATACTTATTATTTTTCTAATAGATGATTTTTTTAATTAATTAATTGTTAAAAAAAGTATTATTCATTTTCCTTTGAATCAACAACAACAACAAGATCAAAAACAACAACAACAACAAGCACAAAAACAATCAACAACAACAACAACAAGCACAACAACAAACAACGACAAGCACAACAACCAATAACAACAACAACAAGAAGCACAACAAAAACAAAAGGCAAAAATCACAACAACAAACACAACAATAACAACAATAACAACAACAACAACGACAAGCAACCAGTACAACATTAAGCACAACAACAACAACATCAAAGACAAGCAACAAGCACAACAACAACAAAAAGAAGCACAACATTGATGCCCTCATATTGGATTCATACTTGATCTAATATAGTACCCTTGATGATATGGAGAGTTACTACATGGAGAATCAATCCAAGACCTTGATTGATCAACCATAGAAACCCAGATTCCTGACTGTGTGAAACCTTAATTCACCTGTATCTAAATAAAGATCAAACTTGAAAGAGGTTAAGGTTAGATAAACAATATTAATGCCCTAGAATAATGATGGAATCTAGTGGTCAAAATTTGGAGTATAACAATGACACTTCATATGCTTCTTTTTGCAGTTCTCTGGCCATCATTTGCATTTTCCTCCAATTGGTTTTCCATCATCCACAATTTCAACCACATCTTAAAATATGAATATGCCTTTTATTTGTGAACTTCATATATCTTAGTTTTCACCTTTGAAAACCGGTACATTTCAAGGAAATTAATTCAAAGTTGTGCTTCCATTTGCCATTGCAAAAGGACTGAATCAAATTAGGTTGTGTGATACCAATTTGTTGGAGCAAGATGAGGTATCTTGAGAATAAAGAAAGGATGAATGTTATTATGGGTTTAAAGGAAATGATGTAAAGCTTATTCAATTGAAGGAAATTGATTAATTATGGTATATCTTCATGTAATTTATCATGATAACAAACTTAACTAAAATGATATAAAGCATTGAAGGAAATTGATTGAAATACAATCTATTTTCATGTATCTATCACGAATTACGAACTTAGTTTTAACAAACTTAACTAGCCTTTGAACAAACTTATAACAAACTAAACAAACTTAGCTAAAATGTACTACCTTGCATAACAAGTAAATTATCAAAAAGATGATGTAAAGCATTGAAAGAAATTGATTGAAATACAGTCTACTTTCATGTATCTATCAAATTATAAATTTAGTTTTAACAAACTTAACTAACCTTTGAACAAACTTATAACAAACTAAACAAACTTAGCTAAAATGCATTACCTTGCATAACAAGTAAATTATAAAAAAAATGATGTAAAGCATTCAAAGAAATTGATTGAAATATAGTGTACTTTCATGTATCACAAATTATGAACTAAGTTTTAACAAACTTAACTAACCTTTGAACAAACTTATAACAAACTAAATAAACTTAGCTAAAATGCACTAATTGCATAACAAGTTAATTATAAAATAAATAAAAAAATAAAAAGATGATTATCTACACATTAGACAATAATAACAAAGTTTGAAGATGTCAAAAAGTTAATATTGTGTCATATAAATGCAATATGGTCATAATGTCAAATTTTATAAAAAAACAATGGCGATGAAAAAATTTTAAAATTTAAAATTGAAGGATTTCAAACTCGAAGTAAAGGGATCAAAAAATGCATTATTTCTAAATACATTAGATGCCCTATTTTTAAACTTAGGCTTAATTCATATTTTTATCCTTTAATATAATTTAATGTTTCATTTTAATCCCTTTATTAAAAAAAATATTACATTGCAGTCCCTTAAAACTATTCTGTTAGCTTTTTTGGTCTTTTCCGTTAAATTTTTAGAAAAAAAAATGTAATTAGTGCCTATGTGGTACTTCTTATGGATTTTTAATATTTGACGTGGATTTTTTTTACTCTTTTTTTTAATAACAAATCTTACAATCCCAAATTTAAAAACATATTTCTCCTCCCTTTACAAAATCTTAGCAGCTGTTATCTTCTTTTTCTTTCTTCTCATCCATAAACTCTTCACATCCTTCTCCTTCTCCATCTTTCTTTGTTTTTTTCTAAACATCTTCATCTTTCTATGTTTTTTACGGAAGCAGCAGAATAAAAATTTATTGTGTGTTTGATTTTAAATCTGATATAATGATTAAAATTGTGATTTTGTTTCGAATTTAATCAAAAAATTTATTTGGAAAAGCTTAAAAGAATAAGTAACTAAATAATGGCATTGCACGGCACCTTCGATGCATTGCTCAAATTCGATCACTATTGTAGATCCTTTTTTATAGGAAATTTATGTCTAGTCCTCTTCTAATTTCTTTCTTACAAAAATTGCAGGATATTTGTTCCTCAGATTCCAGTTGCAAGATTTTATTTTATTTTGGATCTTTGTTCTACAGCGGTGGAGAAATAAGGCAGAAGTTTATGGGGTGATGGGGTTGACGCAACAACAGTAGGTACTACAATGGCACTTTGACGGGGGTGATTGTTAGCGCCTTTATTTTTCTAAATTTACATTTTCAATTTATCTTTTTTATTTTGTCTTTTTTAATGGTTTAGTGGATGTTATGGCTCATATATGACTTTTTGTTCTATGTACAGGTAGTTATCATACTACACAACTTTGAGAATGACAATGGAGTGGTTTTTTCAAATGATGAGTAATCTAAATTTCGTGTACTATTTAGTTTTTTAAGTTTTTGAGCCATTGATATCATCATGGTTGTTATTAGTACTTTCTCAATTAAATGTTGTTGTGTATTGTTGGTGTTCTTAGTTATATGTGTATGAATGTTGAAATTTGTCAGGAGAAAAATTGTATTTATCAATGAAATGAGAAAATTTTTCATATTATTTTTAAGCATTATTAACAATTTGCAGGTTTTAACACACACACACCCAAAAAAAAAAACTCTCAAATTTAAATAAAATATTAATTTTTAAATAAATTTATGACAGTATCCTAATTGTCATGCCACGTTAATCAAAGGTAACAATTTTTTTTGAAAAATTAACGGAAAGGACCAATAATACTAACGAAACAATTTTAAGGGACGAAAGTGTAACCTTTTTTAATTAAAGGACTAGGGGTGTTCGCGGGTTGAATTTGGTATATAATTTGATTAAACCCAATACTCGATCCAATCAAAGTCTTTATGTTGGGTTGAGTGTTCAACCTGTACTTATAATGACTAAACCTGAACCAAACCAACTCGCTCATCAATGGGTTGAGTTCGTGAATATAATTCTCAAATTCTAAATAGAATAACAATTTAATTAACACATTTATTTTATAAAAATATTTAAAAAATCATAAATGTTAGTATTTAATTTAAATAAATTGATCGGTTAATATCTAAAAACTCTTTTACGATTCATATCATGTTAAAAAATTATACAAATAATGTAAATTATTATTTAAAAGGTAATATATCACGTTAGAAAATTATACAAATAATGTAAATTATTATTTAAAAGGTAAGATATATCTCTCTTTGAACAAATAAAGTTGATCTCTTAAATTTAATTTTGACTTTGATTTTACAACATCATAATTATGCTAGATATATTATAAATAAAATAAAGTAAAAAAATAGTGTGACAAATAAATACAATTTGTGGATTTAAAACTTCAAACCTGATAATATCAATTTGTTTGAATGCATTGGTTCGAGTTTGATAAAAAATAAAGGTTGAATTGAATTAAGTCGGTAGATTCGCGAATCGACCCATACCCATAAATCTCTATAAAAGACAAAAAAAAAAAAATCTTAAATTAATTTAAAAGAATTGGGGACTAATTCTTATTTTAAAGTTATTCTTATGTATGCTCTAAAATCATATGAAGTGACCACAAATAATGGGGTTTCATTAATGCCTTTTTATAATGTGATTCTTAATCTGAAATAAAATCATGTGTAAGTTCAACTAATAATAATAATAATAAAGTAAAATTAACCACCTCATCTTGCTAAAGAAAGACATAACTAACGCAACGACAAAGTTAAATTAATTAACAATAAATTATTTATCCATCAATGAAGTGATAAACAAAAAGAATAATTCAAAAAAAAATGCGACACAAAGAAATTTAAATAAAATTACAAAAATAGCAAAATGCCTCAAAAAGACAAGGCAACCAAAAGAGCCACGCCACCCAAAACAACTGGAGCCCCGGAAATTGATCTTGAACCCGAATCATCGCCGATAGGACCCGGTGAAGAAGTCTCTGGCGAAGAACTCGACGGTGCAGTTCCAGGCGGCGATTTGCTAGACGGAAGTGTCGCCGGTGAATCTGCTGGAGTAGCCGAACTTGAAGGGATACCTCCCGAGGCAGCCTCTGGTGGTGAAGAAACTGATGGACCCTCTGTCACCGTTGGGGCCCCAACAGGACTACTTACCGGAGCCACCGCTGCAGTTGGCGGAGGAGTGGACGGGGGTTGAACCGGTGGTGAAGACACATTGGTGGATGGGCTGATAGCCGGGGAAACCGAAGACGGTGGCTGAACAGTCGGCGGTGGGGTAGACCCGGGTGGAGAGATCGTCGGAGTTTGTGAAGGCGGAGATAAAGTTGGAGACTTTGCAGGGGATGCTTTAGAAGCCGTGGGAGACTGTACCGGAGGAACCGAGACCGTAGACGGTGGTTTCGCTGATGACTGAGGAGAAGAAGCCGGAGCATTGTCTGCAAGAACCAAAACTGAGGATATGGTGAAGAACATAGAAAGTACTACTAAGAGTGAAAGCAATTTATTCATTTTTGGAGTTTTTGAGGAATAGGGAAGTACGAGGATGAATGAAAAAAAGGGTTAGTGAGAATGTCGGAAAAAAGTTACAACAATGTAGGAATTGTAAGTGGTCGTGTTTGTGTGTGTTTTGAGAAACGTTGGTGTTGGGAAATTTATAGGATGAGAGTTTTGGAGCGTAGAGAACTAAAATGTGACCGTTGCGATGGTTCACATGGTATGGCCAGTAAAATAGCCGTTGATTGTTGGTGTTATTGGACCGATTGACATGTTTTGTTTGGATTTTTATATGGAGATAAAACAAATTAAACATCCATGTTTGGATTAGATTTATCAATATTTTATTGTCATGTTTCTTTGTTCCTTTGGGTTGGGAAGGGTTGTGTTGTGGTGGGAGTTGGAGAAGGGATAATATTGAAGGAAAATAGGAAATAGTCATTTGATTCTTAATTGTACTAAGTGGATGTTAGTTACCTCTAATCTTAAATATAATATTCATTTAACAAAATGGCAAGAATTAAGAAAATTGAAAGTGATAATATATTCATTGATAATTATATTATTTTAAAATTTTCTTTTCTAAAAGAGAGCAAGAGAATGAGTTTAGGTTTTCATGATATTATTAGAGATTAATTATCATGCACCGTAAAAAGTTTTACACCATCAATTCATAAATATCATGTGTTTGCATTATTTTATAAGTAATTAAAATAAGGATAATGTTAATTTGTGTCCCAGGACACAATTTAAGAGATAAATATAGTAAAAAATTATTAGAAATTGTGTATTAAAATTAATCCAAGATTACAACTAATGAGTTTATTGTTTTTCTCAATAC